ATTTACCTGCATCCTTGCCAATACTTGTTATTATGGGTCTTTTTATTATAGCCATCCTAGAGGGTGTGATGTGATATCTCACTGTGGTTTTGATTTGATTTCCCTTATAATTGTGATGCTGTGCATCTTTTAATGTGATTATTGGTCATTCATAGATTTTGGGGGGGCAGAAATTTCTATTCAAATCATTCATCCAGTACAAAAAATGGTTTCTCATTTCATTGTTGCATTCTAAGAGTCCTTTACATTTCCTGGAATCAAGTCCCTTATGACTTGCAAATATTTTCTTACAGTGTATAGATTATCTTTCCATTTTCTTGATGGTGTTCTTTGAAGCAATGAATTTTTAATTTTGTTGAGGCCAATTTTTCTGTTTTTTTTTTTTATTTTTTATTCATGCTCTTGGTATCATGATTGAGAGTCTGTGTCTAACCCATAATCACAAAGATTTACCCTTATTTTTTCTTCTAAAAGCTTTATAATTTTAACTTGTAGATTTGGTCAATAGTTCATTTTGAGTCAAACTTGTAAATTTTGTAAACTTATGGTGGGGTCCAATTTCATTAATGTGTTTATCCAATTGTATCAGTTTCACTTGTTGAAATGATTATCCTTTCTCCATTGAATTTTCTGACACCCTTGTTGAAAGCAACTGACCATAAATACCTTAATTTTATGTGTAGACATATTGTTTTTGGTGTAATTTTAAATGAACTTGTTTTCATAATTTCATTTTCAAATAGTTCACTGCTAGAGTGTAGAAATACAACAACTGACTTGGGTATATGTATCTTATATCCTGCATCTTGCTGAACTCATTTATGAGTTCTAATAGCATTTTTCCCCTGTGAATTCTTTACAGCTGTCTGTATTCCAAATTATGCAATCTGCTATATTTTCCTCTTTCCAATATGGATGCCTTTTACTTCTGTCCTTGCCTAATTGCTCTGGCTAACCCCCCAGGACAATGTTGGATAGAAGTGCCCACAGGAAACATCCTTATCCACTTCTTGATGTTGAGGGAGGACATTCGGTCTTTATCGCTAATCGTGCTGTCAGCTGTGGGTTTCCCTCTCAGTTTGATCTTTATTAGGTAAAGGAAATTTCCTGTCTTTGTAATTTAAAAAAACCCCTCTCTTTCTCTTCTAGGAAAGACATAGAAGATTTTAAGAGGTTTGGGCAGGGCAGTTTGGTCTCTGCAATCAGGCAGTTCTTCTCGGACTCTAAATACAGAGCTGAGCCTCCCGTTGAAGATGTGTCAGTGTCACTGGGCTTCTGCTTCTGAGCCATGTAGTCCCTGAGTGCTTGGACTCAGGGAGACGTGGGCAGATTCAGAGCATTCTTGTTGTATGAAGGAAACCAGAGTGGATCATGGGGTGTAGTGGGACCTCACATCTGACCCTTCCCACGGAGGTGGCCATCTGAAGGACATGGCTGGTGCAGACCTTCCCTGAGCTGTGAGTGCATGGGTTTGCAGAGCAAGGGGATTGACTCTGTGAGCCCTGCTGACCTTCTAGTTCCAAGATAAGTTCTCTGGGTTGAACTTGGCCCTGTGGACTATAGCTTCAAAAATAATATGGATGGATTGTTTCAGGAGGTGGAGTCAGGATTATTTTCTCTGTTGGGTGTTTATCCACCCCCTTCCAGCCTCAGGAAGGCCTGGGCAAGTTTCTCCCAGGAGCAGAGCACACATTCACCCCTCCCTTGCTCACATTCCTGGGTGGGAATAAAGGGGAGCTGCGGCTGGTTGAGAGTTTGCACATAGCTCAGTTCATCTCACCTGTGACTTGGGTGATAGGTGTGGGGGGAGGTGGACACTCCAGGGCCATCAGGTTTGGTCAGCAAGATCAGCTGAGCTAGCACCGGGACGCTTGCAAGGCAAGGCTTAGTCTGCTGTACATGGTGTCAGGACAGCCAGGGCTTGGGGGCTCAGGTCTCTGGGGCTGGGAACTGGCTGAGAGTGTGAAGGATGGACACAATAAAGCAGAGAAAGGCCCCTGTTCAGGTCCACAGCCTGTCGGCACAGAGAGGCTGAGTAACTTGTTCCACAGTGAGTCAGTCCCAAGGCAGGATTCAAACCCAAACTTCCCTCCAACAACTTGGAGCCAGGGAGCAAGAGCCTCCTTCCAATATCCGGAGGGGCCTCTCCTCGAGTTCTGCATGAGGCGTCCCTGAATCAGCCACAATTACTGTTGGCACCTCTCCACGTGGGAGCTCAGCGCGCTCTCATCTGCATCGGCTCAATTAGCAGCAGGGCTGTTTTTTATTAGGAGATATCCTTTTGGGAGAGATACAGAACATGTCTTTTAAGAATGCAGCTTCTATTCTCTCCAGGTATTACCTGTCATAATGTATTCTCCTCTTGTCTTTGAACAAATTTCAAAACCCGCAGCATCAAAGGCCAGCTAGAAAGGCCATAGTTTGCACTGATGCTCTTCCTAGTGTCCACCTACTCCTCCCAAACCCCCATGAGCGAGTATCCCCCTGACATTGGCTCGCACTGAGTGAAGTGTCACCAAAGGCCAGGCCACACACCAACCACCATTTAGGAGATGCCATGTCACAGCGTGATGGCAGCCCTGTGAGGCAAGCACCAGAACCCCCATTTACAGAAGCAGGAACTAGGTTCAGGGGTGATGGGCCACCCAGTCCACCCTGATGCCAAGGGCTGGCCCTTAAACCTACATCTGCCTGACCTTGGTCACCCTCTACCCCCTCCAGGACCTGACAATGATGTGACTGGGTGATGATGGTGTGATGTTGCCTGGGATGATGATGACACAAATGCAATGTGTGTGAGGGCTGTGCAGAGATGCTGCGTGATGGGGCATGGGGTGGGCAGGGACAGACGCCCAGGTGGGCTACATTTCCTAGCCCCCTTAGCAGGTAGGTGGGGCCATGTGACCCACTGTCACCAGGGGCTGGGAGAAGTAATGTGAGTCACACAGATGGTTAAGAAGCAGATGCCTATGCCCCTTCTCCACTTTCTTTCCCCTCTGCCGGCCATAGCAGGGGAGGTGAGTGCCTTTGTGCCTGGTTTCCCTCTCTGGCAAGCTCCATCATCCCATTAGTGCGAGAGCAGCTTCCCCCAGCCTGCCCCATATCAACAGGCCCTCCTTGTCCAAGCTCAGAGCTGGCAGCTCTTGTCCATGATACCTGGCAAACTCTTGGGAACACCAGGCCTCCTCCCACCCTCCCCTGTTCTCTTTGGAGGGAGGACACTGGCCAGCTGGGCCTCCAGGGCAGGCCTCTGGGCAGCAAAGTTGCTCTAACCCATTGGTGGGAGCCTGAGGATGCCTCCCTGTGGCTGGACACAGTGCAGGGTCACTCTGACTGCCTCCTTCTGCCAGAGGTGGGCCAGAAAATGGTGCAAACCAAGAGGCACCTTCAGAGCTAGGTCCCGTTCATCCACTGGCCCACACTCTGCACCCGCCACTTGATTCAGCAACATAGGCCACTTGGGAAATTCATAGACTTACCAGGGAATTTTGTAAGCAGCTCACACGAGCAGCTTTACGTCCCCAGTGTCAAACAGAGTCAGATCCTCCCCAGCTCTGGTCTGAACATGGCCCATTCCTTCCCCAGGGCTGCCCCTGCCTGCATTGCCTCTGATTGGCCTGTAGCACAGCTTATGACCAACCAGTCAAACTTTGCCAAGTCCATAATGCCCTCATTCCTAACCCTTCCTTTCTTCCTTGCCCTGATCCTATAAAAGCCCTGTCTACTCCAGGCCAGGAGGCAAATTTGAGTTTTCCCTCCTGTCCTTTCTGGTTGACCTTGCATTAACATTCTTTTCTGAAAAGTTGGTGTCATATATTGACTTCTCTGTACATTGGTGATCTAGCCCCTGATCAGCAGCAACCCTGCCTGCTCCTGGACATGGACCTCATACCCCAGCTCCACCAACTGGCCCTAAAACATGGGCCAGTTTCCATCCCTGTGCCTTTATTTTTGGTGTTCCCTGGGACTATAATGTCCTGTTCCCTGAATTCTTGGTCTCCCCAAATACTGCACCTCCTTCACTGCGCCAGCAACCATGGACCTTAAAGCCACAGCACAGAGGTGTGAGTTCTTCTGTTTTACCTCTCACTTGAGGTGTGACCTTAGTTTTATTGTTTAACTGCCTAAGCTGCATCCTGTGTTTGCAGATAGTAACATCAACCCTAAGTGGCTCTTAAGTGGATTGAGGGCAATCATTTGTAAGGAGGGTCCTGGGGAACAAGGGGTGCCTCATAATTTCTGGTCGGTGTGATTGGACCTGGACCCATATAGCCGGCTCTGCCCCCACCGCCTCACCTCCGGAACAGCAGGCAGGATCCCTGGGGAAATCTCACCCGGCAGCCTGTATCTTGGAAAGAGAAATAGAAAATATTCTAATTCCAAATAGTAAATGTCAGAGGCGTAGGAAGGACTCTGAGGTTCTGAAAATAAACAGCTGGCACCAAAAGGAAGGAGGGGGTGGGAGGAAGGAGTCTGGGGGTGGAGGGCCAGGGAGAGGCATTGATGAGGCGGCAAGACGGGGAGCGGGAGAAGGCAAGAGGGGGTGTGGCTGTTCTGCGAGGTGCCACCTAAGAACTTGGAGAGGGGGCTCAGGCATCTCAGGGTAGGGAGGGGACCTCCCTGGTGGGGGGCTCTGATGCCACTGAGTAGAATGTGGGGCTGATGAGTCCACCTTCAAATCCCTCGTAAAAACCAGATGCTAAGCACCTGCTGGCTGAGGATGCTGTCCAGGTGGGCTCCACCCCGGCTCCTACAGTTCTGGCCCAGACCCTGGACCTGGGGGTGACCCTGCTTCCCATCTTCAGCCTTCTCTTTGTGGCTAGCTGCCTTGAGTTTGTGCATCCTAGATTGCAGGGCACACTCTGACTCCTCCAGGCCGAGAGGCACCTTGCAGAGGGTCCCTTTTGTCAGTGCCTGTCCAGCAGAGCAACCCCAGGTCTCTCTCTGTCACTCGTCATCTGTTTCATTTTCCTTCATGACAGATGCATGTGTCACCCCCTGCAAGTCCCAGAATGCCCATGCCCTGGCAAATCTGGGGCCCAGTTAGCCTCATCCCTGCTGTGTTTGCAGGTATGTAAGGAAGATCCAATCTGGGGGCAGATGACAGATTTGGGAGAGCCATTTCCCACATGATCCATTTGAAGGGCACGTAGGATCATGTCATAATCTGATGAAAACCTTCCCATGGCTCCTGATAACTTTTGAGGTAAAGGCAACCAGCCTGGTGTGACCTGCAAGTGTGTCCCCTCCCACCCTGCCTCCCGTGCACTCTGCACTCCAGCTCCGCTGGCTGAGTCCAGTTCTCTGGCCTTGCTCTGGTTCTGCCTCCCCAGGGCCTTTGCAGTTTCCCTATATATTGTATATCTGATTATATATCAGTAACAATCCCACTTATTATTCCCAGTTGCTCACAGATGAGAAGGTTGAGCGTCCCAGAGGTAAAATAACGTGCCCAGGGTCACAGAGCTATTTAGTGGCAAAGCAGGCTCACCCCCGCTCTGCTGGACCCCACCCCACACTTCGGCACATTCAAAACCTGCCTTCAAATAACCGCCTTCCCCAGAGAGGGAAGCACTTCATTACAAAAGAAGAGTCACTTCATTACAAAAGGGCCCCTCTTCATGGAGACAAAACATGGCAACCAATTAAAGTCTCTCGGTTTCAGCATCACTTTAGAAATCGATGCACTGTGATTGCAAGTCTAGCGTTGTGGGCAGCCTGGCCTTTTAGCTGGGCCTCCGCAGGCTTCTCCCCAGGCTCAGCCTCCTGGGGCTGACAGGGCAGTGCTGAGACCCTCATTGATCTTCACTGAAGTGTCATAATGAAATACAAATGTGCTGTTACCCTGACAGTGTCCGTCCTCCATGGCGGCTCGGAAGAATCCTACTGGGAGCACAGGGGGCGAATTTCACTCTAGAGCTTGCTGCCCTCGTACGCTGCACCCCGAGTTGCCCCCCCCAACACTGCTCACAGCTCAGTTCTTGAAAATCGATGTTTTTACTGTCTCAGTGTTGTCACAGAGCCTTGGGAGGCAGGGAGCTGTCAACAGGGTGTTCAAGATATTTCCAGTAATGAGCAAGCTACCTGTTAGGAAGGCCTCTTGCAGAGGCTTGGCACCTGTTTGTTAGCAGGAGTGGGAGTTGCTGGGACAGTGAGTCCGTGCATCCCTGTGCACTCTGCCTAGCACCTGTGTCAGTGGCCAGGAGGCGGCAGAGGCACCAGAGCTGGAAACCCTGCCCTTGACCAGCCTCAGCCTCCACTGGGCAAAGCGGGTGTCGTCTCTCCTCCTGTCCCAGGGAAACCAAGGGGAGAAGGCAAGACCACTTTGGGGACTGGGCCTCAGGTATGTGTGGGGAAGCTCTGCAGGGCCCACCCTGAGCCCTGGGGGACATGCGACCTGCTCCAAGGCCACTCAGCAGGCTGGTGGGAGGATACAATCCTGCCCGCACTAAGGGCAGCCCAGGGCTTCCATCTCGGCCAGGCCAGTGTGCAGCAAGGATGCGTGATGGAGTGGATGGGTGAAGGCGTGAATGAGTGAGGTGGTGGGTGTGATGTGGATGTAGGCCTTGGTGCGCGGTGCCCAGAGCAGGGTCTGAGCCAGGTAGCTGGCCAGGTGTGTGCAGCATGGCCGCTCCGCCGCATACTGTGTGACCATGGTGGGTCACTGGGCCTCTCTGAGCCTCAGTTTCCTCAGCTGTGAAATGGGGTTATGTTAGTACCTACCTCACAGGGTTGTTGGGGAGATTGATTAAGAAAAAGTGAGTTCAGCATTTGGAACAGTGCCGGAAACCCAGAAACCAAGTAAAATGTTAGTTATTAAAACTGAAATTACTTTTCGCCATTTACCTTGTTGCTTTATTCTCAGATGCCATCTATCACAAGATACACCGTCAATTTATAACAACCTTTGAGGGGGAAAGAAAACAAAAGGGAAGATGAAATTAAATGTCTAGATCAATTGAAGGAGGCATCTTGTTTAGGAAAGTGTAAACTGTGTGTGCCAGAATTAAAGCGATATGATATTAATATCAAAAGGCTGTTTGGGGATTTCTGATGCCTGGAAATGCTCCCAGAACATACCAGAGAGGGCAAATGGGCGTTGAGCTGTCTGGGGAGCAGACCAGAGGTATATCCCATCACCTAGGGCCTCGGTCTCCTGCCTGAACAATGAACATTAGCATCAGATGATCCATCTAGAAGGATTACATGATCCCTTGGGCATTTGAGTCCTGGATTTGGAGGCAGAGTGAATCCCTTTGCCAGCCCAGCTGCAGAGGTGAGGGCTCAAGGGTGCGGCCAGCTTACCCTTCAGGAGCGAGGACTGGCAGAACTGCCTTTGGGTGATCCGCACCCCCACAGGCCCAGAGCACAGACCCAAGCAGAGTCCATGCTGGACTGGGTTGGTGTCCCTGGGCAGTGGGCTTATGCTCCCAGCCCCCCACCACATGTGTTCTCTGGAGACTTCTGCCTACCTCTCAGTGTAAACCCTTTCCCGGCCACACCCACCTCCCCCTCCACAAGAGACTTGTGTGCAGGGTTTCTGGAAGGCTTATCCTGGCTCTCTTCATCCCTGCCCATTTCAGGAGCTGCCCGAGCTGCCCTGGGAAGGGGTGGGGAGGAGGGGCAGGAGGGCAGGAACCAAGAGGGACAAGGGGACGAGATGGGGAACTCCAAGGGGGTCTGTTGACTCCCATCAGCTCCAAGCCACCTAAACAGATTAAAGCAAAGCTTGCACCCCCTTTATCTCCATGCAGACCTCCATGCCGAGCGCCTTGACATTTTAGGAGGAAACAATATAAGGAAAAGATGAGGTGTGTAATATCCAGTGTAAACTGAGGATGGAGAAACATCAGAGGACTCACAGTCACACTCACCACCTATGACTGGGTTTTGGTGATGAGAGGGAAGAGCAGAAAGAGAGTGAGGGGCGGGACAAGGAAGAAGACATACTTGAATAGGGCAGGGGACGGGAGGAGGGGAGCTAAGGTCCCAGGCCAGGAGCAGAGACAAATTTAGAGACCCCAAAGGAACCCTGTAACTCCCTATGCCCTCCCTCTTCCCCTGACTCTCCTCCTCGTCCCTCTGGCTCAGCTGAAATGCCTCCTCCTCCAGGTGGCCTTCTCTGGTTTGGCAGTGGGAACGGTGTTACTCGGTCTTGATTCTTGCCCTTTTCTGTGACCTTCAAAGTGAATGTCTCCTTCAACTTTTCTTCTTGCTGGAAAGGAATATTCCAGAGGGGAGACTGGGTCTGTTTTAGGCACACAGCAGCCCAGCACCCTGCTGGGTTATGGCCCGCGCTTGGTTATACTTCCATCTACATTCCTTTGACCCAGAGATGGCATGGCTGAGCTCAGCAAAAACAGGGTGAAAAAGCAGGAAGGGGAAAATTAAGATCCCTGTCATTCCACTTCCTCAGAGGGCCCCTGTCAGGGCGTTGCTGCATTTCCTTGCACATCAACTTACACACTTAAATAAACAGATGCACATGTTTATGTGGAATCACACACTAGTTGGTTTCACCTGCTATCTTATTCACTTAATCTCATTTTATGTGCATTTTCTTGCATAATTAACTGCCTTTTCTAGCAAATTATTTTTTAAAACAGACTTTTCCGTGGCTATTCAATATTTTAAAGCTGTACAGTAAATTTTCTAGACCTGCGTTCTCTAATGTGGGGATGCTAGCCACAGGTGGTTATTGAGCATGTGAAATGTAGCCAGCCTGAATATAAATGTCTAAGTATAAAACATACACCAGTTTTTGAGGCCATGGCACACACAAAAAATGTGACCTATCTCACTAATAATTTTACGTTGCTTTGTGTTGAAATCATAGTTGGATATATTGGGTTAAACAAGATATATTATTAGTTTCACTTGTAGTTTTACTTTTTTAATGTGCCTACGAAAAATTAAAAATGATACAGGTGACTTGTATTGCTTAACACTTCAATTAGATGGTGGTGGAGCTAGACAATCTCCTGTGGTTAGGCATTTTGGCTTTCTCAGATTTTATTCCATTTTAGACAACTGTAGTGAGCATAATGGATACAGGAATAGTTGACATTTATGGAGCTTTTTCCATATTCCTGGCTCTATGCTAAGCACTTTCCATGCTTCTCTCTCCAGTAGCTACCTCTGCTAGCCCCAATTACAGGCAAGAAGCCAGGGCTCAGAGAAGTTAGGAACTTGCTCAAGGTCACACAACAGTTATCTGGTTGTAGAACCAAGTGAAAATCCAGATCTGATGGATTCCCAAGGTTCTTTCCAGTCACCTTTTTGGGTGTCTTTCTGATAAATCCCTAGTGGGCAGAAGGGTTTTACATACTTTAAGATTCCTAGAGCATATTGCAACTCATCTTTCAGGAAGGTATCAATTCAGACTACAAAGAGCAGTCTATTCATTTTGCAAATATCATGAAGTATTTACTGTTCTGTGTGCTGAAGGCCACAATCCACAGCACAGACAAGCTCCAGCCCCCTGGGGCAAATGTGGTCTTGTTTGCAGGAGGAGTGGGTGGGGCCGGGGTGAGGAAGGACAGGCCCTGAAGAAGGACCACAGACTTTCAGGTCAACATAAAGGTGCATCTAAAGTGAAGAGCACAGAAGGGTAGAGCAGTGAGTGGAGCAGGTCAGGATGGGGGGGGGGGGGCGGGGCGCACCCCACTTCAAGTAGGACGATCCAGGAGAACATCTCAGAGGAGGTGGCCTTGAGCTGAGCCCTGAATAAACCAGAAGAGGTTCCAGGCAGGAGAGACAGCAAAAGGGAATTCACTAAGGTGGGGTTAGCGGACTGGATGAAGGAGGTGGGGATGAGCTGGGTGGGGGTCAGTTCTGGCAGGGAGGGGTCAAGGGTCCTGCAGACCCCATGGAGGAGACAAAGGCCTGCCCAAGAGCAGTAGGTAGTGGAGCTACAAATTGAAACCCACGATTTGTCAAGTTCTCTTTAGAGGTCTCCAGCATGAGGAATCAAAATTAGTTATGTAATTTAATATTATCCAAATCTTTCAAATGAGAAAAGAAGTCAGGAAGAAAGGACATCTGTAATCATAAACTACACATTTAAAAAAGCTGAAAATTACCTAAAACAGTACAGCACCGAGAATTGTGCTGCGGTTCTGAATTAACCTCCTGACACACCCAGAGCGTGTTCCCTCCATCTGGGGTCACAGCCTCCCTGAGTCCATACTCCAAGGCAATCATTTAAGATATCATTTTTCTGTTGAGAGGTTAGGATAATTTAGGCTTTCCTCTAGCAGAATATGATCGAAATAGTTTTTTATTTTGATGGTTTAGAGATATTTTATTTTCCTCATTACAATTCATTTTTTATAATATCCTAAGCATTTTCTAAAAGGAAGACTCACTCTCAAGTTGTTTCAATTAAGAGCTGTGAGATTACAGGGCCTTTTAAAGCTCTTGAGCAGCCCTGGACTCCACTTAATCCTTGAATCGAAGGTGCTAGTGAACCACTCCACTGCCAGGGCGTGGTCGGCGCTGAAGCCAAAGCCACACATGAACCACCTCTAACTGGAGGGGGTGCAAGGCGAGGCTTCGACTGCTCCTGCTGCAGAGCAGGGCTGCAGGGACAGGGCAGGCTGTGAGGTTGTCTGGAGAGAGGTTGCCTGGAGCCTGGGCGATGGCCACGCTGATGGGAGAAATGGCCAGAAGCCAGGACTGTTTGGATGTGCTGGCCGGGAGCAGGGAGGACGCCTCGAGGCTGACCTGAGTGAGCTGGAGAGTCTGTCACACCACAGCCCAGAGGGGCTGCATGCTTCTCTTCCTTCCTTACATGCTGGAACCCAGGCCCTCACACTAGGGACAAGAGTTTCAAAGGATGTTAAAAAGATCACCTGTCTCCAGAAACACCGAGAGCTGAGGGTGGACCTGGCTCACTGAGTGCCTGGGACATGCTGGCTTGTTCCCACACTGTCCCTTCCCTCCCTCCACTAAGGTCACATGAGCTGACTCAGACTCCAGGCTTGGCGGAAAGGACCCCTGACCTGGTCTTCTGCTCCAGCATGCCCAGACTGTCCCGATGTTGCCAACCCTCATCCCATGTCCCCAGAGAGCCCTCAGATGAACTGGGACATTAGCCACCCTCCCTGTTAGGGGTCCCTGTAGTCTAAAGAAACTCCTGGTCCTGGACCTTCAGCCTGCCTGGGGCCATCCACCTGTCCTCACCTGGCAATCTGCTCTCATGCAGCTGAGACCCTTTGGCTTGCAAATAAGCAGGTGCACACATGTAGGGCCCCAAAGACGATTGCGCACGCACAGGAGGCACACACTATCTTGTTGTGTTGTCTTTCTAAATACCTGGAGGCCTCTGGGTAATGGTGGTACCTAAATGGAGCATCAGAGAAATTAGAAATGACACCAGAGTCTCTATGACAGGCTGTCTGGCTTTATGAGATGCTTGTAAGGCACCGAGCCAACTCCAGATGGGGCTTCCTTAGACTGCTCTGAGACACGGGCCCTCCCAGCCTCTGAGCAGGAGGGATCTCCTGCCTCCCATAGGGACCTAGAAAAGAGAAAAGGGGGGTCGGGGTCCCTGGGAAGGATGGAGGTGATGATGTAGGAATCAGAGGACTGTGATTATTCTAGCAAGTCATTACAACTGATGCCCCTTCCCCCCTGCGTTCCTACTGATGTAAATGGGCCCACATCAGACTTTTGACAACAGAAGGGAAGTCTCAGTCCTTGAATCCAAGACACCTGAGGCACTGAGGGTCCAGAGCAGCTGTGGGGCCCCCTCTGGTCTAGATTGATCGGGAAGAGGGCGGTAAGGCTCAGTCTGGGCCTGGTCCCTTCTCAGGAGTGGGAGACCCAACAGGAACGTGTGATGGAGTCCTGCGTCCTCCTCAAAGTTGAGCATATCCCTGGATGCCCATGTGCAGACTTCCTGAGAGCCACGGGCCGGCAACAGCAGCCTCCCCAGGAGCCGAGATGCCTTCGCTAGTTGCTGTAGTGAGAGAGAGCAGAGCAGAGCTGGTGGCCTCTTCTCTCTCAT